AACCCCAAGGCATTTTAAGTTTTCTTATGTGAAAAAAAAAAAAAAAGACCCACAACAGCCTGAGGTTCAAGGCCTCTTGACTGATTTGGGCAGAGCAGGTACTTAACCCCAGCTTTCCCACATCCCAGGTGATTGCTCTACCTACTGAGCTATTGGTTATTTGGAGACTGTCTCTTCCTCCTCTACCTTCCACTTCCACCTCAGACAGAAACTCTATTCTGGGCCTGGGAAACCTCAGAACAGCACTTAACTATTTTCCTGCAAAAAGTTTCATTTTCAGTGAACCAATATTTGTCAGTAAGTTGAAATACTGCCACCAACACTAGTAAACAGCACTTTTCCCTGGAGTTCTCCAAGGTGAGATCAAGCCTTGGAGAAAGCTTTTGGTTAAGCTCCTGGAGAGCAAGACTCCAATGAAAGGCCAAAGCATGAATCTTTCAACATGTGGCTGAGTCTTCTGCAGATATAAGGTAATACTTTCCTTTATGAGATTCAACCACTGCAATTAGGAGAAGAGTCAGACCAGTTCAAAGGGAAAGATGGGTCAAATGAATAGACTTCAGTAGCAAAAGGCCAGCAAAAGAGCAGAAAAATAGCTGAACAAATATATGCTTAAACCAGTGCATCTCATCACCATGTAATTGCAGAGTGGAATTAAGTAAACCACCTAACTTCTCATACAACACAAAATAAGACAAGCAAGAGTAGATGCTGCCCACAGAGCTGAATGTATATGATGTAAACATAGGCCTACAAACCACATCTTTAAATGTGTTTCCAAAGTTCAAAGCGTCCAAAGTGAAGCTGCCTATGATGCTGTGGACTGAGAAAACAGATACTTGTGGTTGTGCTTCAGACACAGAGTTTGTGCCTATGGGGGAGAAAGATACAACCACAAAGGGACTTTTTAGTATAAGTCTTGGGTGATGGCCCAGAGCAAGGTTTGAAAGTGATACTATTGCTGGGTCTTTTGTGAAATATGAATGGCTTCCCCTGACAGTAAATTGGGCCTGTGGATAAAAGCACTGGAGTAAGACTCAGGAGTTACGTTTCTGGCTCTACACCCTGCTGAGGGACCTTGGGTAAGCCACTTCACCTGGGGCCTCAGTCTCTTAGCACTGTAAAACAAATGTAATGATGCTGACTCCTCATAGCAAGGTGCTTTGAAATCTCTGGATGAAAAGCACATTAACTTTATTATGAAAACTTTGGATAGGTGTGTGTTCTCAGTGCAAAGAGAAAGAAGTCTAAATATAACAGGGAGATTTTGGAGTCCATGGCTATGTACAGATGGTCAGACTTATTTGACTGGAGCAAAATAACCTAAGAACAACCAGAGTTAAATTGCTTCAAGGAGGGTTTCCAGGAGAATAGATGTCTGTACACTTTTCCTTCTGAGAGAAGCCTCAGTACAGTCCTCCAGCATCCTAGGGTACTTTGCTCCCAGCCTCTTTCTCCTCCCTTTCCAGGGAGACAGGGTGTCACTTGTGCTGGACTCTACTGCTCTAGCCAAGCCAGGAGCAGAATACACTCCCTTCACAATCCTTACATTGTTCTGTAGGGGGACACAGGTTGACCCTAAGCAGTTTGGGTTAGCCAATCAGGGCTGCCACGTGCACTTCTGCCAGCTGTCTCCAGGCAGACTGAAGGTTCCTGCAGAGAGCAGAGATGTGTGTATAGGCCCCACTTAGCTGTGCAGATCTCAGTACATACACCACCTTACGTGACCTTTCCAGGCCTGGTTAAGTTAGGTATCCTGATAGCTATCAATATGCACATAGTAATATACTTGTTGGATAGGTAGGAAAACAGACTTGTTTAGTATTGATCTTTTTATCTATGATCTCATTCTCTCTTGTTGATTGTTTTTCCTATTACTCTCCACTTTTCTGATCCCTTGGGTGAGGTATCTCAGACACTGGTGTAAACTTTCACGTGTGTGCAACCCAAGCACCCTGTGGAAGGGTCTACAAATGGCATTAAGTAGTCCGATATTCATATTGGTTGCACCAATTTAGATAGCCTGCTCCCTCTTAAATTGTCACAAGCAGCATTTAAATAGTCTTCTAAGTCCACACACATCTGAAGGGCAACTTGGCTCTGCCAATTCACGGTAACTGGTAGAAAAACATTGTAGCCAAGTAAAACTACAGAGAGTAAAAAACTTAAAAATGTCTGACCTGGAATGAAACTAAGACTTTGGTGTTTAATGGTGCTCATTTTACCAAAAAAACAAACAACCTGGAACCTGAATAACCCAAGAGCAGGCCTTCTGTCACATACTGTTGTATGCTCCCAGCTATGTAAAACCACGATGCACATAAATCTGGAAAAAGTGCATATTTGTGAACAATGTACATAGTTCTCAGCAGCATGCTATGTGGACTGAGACTACCGCATCAGGTACAAGTAGCCTTCAGGGATAAGGGAGTCCTCATTGGCAAAACCAATTCTTTACTTTCCAGGTGCAAGAATTCTAATTCTCTCTCCCTTTCTCTCTCCAATTAGAAGAATCGCGAGGGAAAAGACTCTGACAGTGCCAGTGAGGTATGCTATGCCGTCATCAGTCCTCAGGAGAATCTTGAGGAAAAAGACTCTGACAATACCAGTGAGGTATGCTATACTGTCATCAGTCATCAACCAATCAAGGAAAAACCCAGTGTGAACAAAAGCAACGTTGAGATTGAATATACACTTGTTAACTTACCTGCCAGCAAAGTGACCACCAACAGCTACCAGGACAATGAATATGAATATGTGATGATAAAATAGAAAACTAACATCTCTTTTCCTTTTAGAGGTACTTCCTATTAAGTAGCTAATCAACTGCCTTCCCAACTGTATTTCCAGTCACGCCTGCACTTCAATCAGGCCAAAGGCATCCTGTTCTTCTACAGAGTTTATAAAATAAGACAGGTCTACCTCCTAGCTCCTAAGAGACTCATTTGTCAATGAAGAGTTGAACATACCTGGAAAGAAACTGGTATGTTATACAAATCAATATAAATGTTGCACACATATGAGCACTCCCAGTCTATACCAAGATGGCATTTCAGTACAGGACATTAGGAACTTCATTGCTAACAGCTGCTGAGATGTGTTTTCAAGTGGGTTTCTGCATAATTTCACTTTTTAAAATTATAGATTTGAAAGATGCCTTCATCTCCATGAAAAGCCCTTGTACGGGCTTGTCCTGATAAAGCCTAGTAATTGAGACCCTGTGCATTCTGTGGTTATTTCTTAAATCTATTATGATCCAGATCTCTGAGAAAAAGAAAGGTCTTAATGAAATTTTATCTAAATGTAACAATAACATTTCATTGACAATTGTATGAAAATAATGCCATAATACCATCACTACAAGGATGGTGGAGCCTACACAGGGACCTTATTTTGCTTCAAATGCATATATGCCAAACCCATTATTTCCTATATTAGTTCCAGTACCCCTAATGGAACTCAATTCTTTCAAATCCATTATTATGTTGCAGTACCTTATGCTATTGCAGCACTGTGCTCTTTATGATGAGGGTCTAGGAGCAAGACCTAGGGCGAGAGTAAACTGTGCAAGCCTTCTGTGCGCTGTTTTGTAAACATAGCCCAGTCTTTGACTCCCTGTTATTCCAGTCTGGGGTTTTCCCCAAGGCACAGATGAATGAATAGGTGTCATTTCTGATATGAATAGAGGTATACCATCTGTAAGATGAGAGGCATTTTCTTATGCAGTTTCAGAAGGAAAAAAAACAAGGAAAAATAAAAATCAGAGCAGTTATGCTTGGTGGCACTTGTGACACTTGAGGACAATAATTCCTCATGTAACATTTTGGCTTCCATAAGCCAGCCCATTAACATGAGAATTCAGCATTTTTAAACACATGCTAACTGATTATAGAACATACGTTTGCATTTGATGGATGATCAGTGACATGAAAAAGCATGCTTCTGGAAATGTTACCGGTTCTTGTATTCTAAATTTGCCTTAAAAGTAAAAGTAAATAAACACCAATTTGCTTCTTGAATATCGCACTCAGGAATTCAAATGCAGGGCAGAGGAAATGGGATGGTGGCGGAGGAAACACTCTGATGGCAACCAGCTTTCCCACAGCTCCTTTTCTCCAGAACTTTTGAATCCAACTCTGTGACTCCATCCTGCTGCCCTTGCCCTCACAAACTTCCTCCTTCTTGCCCTACTCCCCTCTCTGCTTACAACAGCAATTTGGAGCTACTCCATTCCCCAAGTATGGTAAAGGTGGTAGGGCACAGGGAGCTAGACAGATTCTTCCGTCCCTCTCCAGCACCTTCCACTAAATCCATGGGAAGGCAACAGATAAAAATGAGCAACTGCATGTCTTCCTAGCAGTGCTGTAGCACATTCTCCCAAATTAGGGAGGGCTTAAGGCAGGAAAAATCACTATCGACAACAAGAGCCATGGGAACAAAACAGCAGAGTCCAGGCAAGGCTACTTTACACAACTCCCACTGCTTGCAGATATTCTTCATGGCATGCTGCTTTGGGAGACAATGCAACCACTACCTTCCATTACGGTAGAAGCAAATTTTTCCTTCCCCCAGTAAATGAAATTGAAGGAAATATTGTTTTTTTATATATACAAAAAAAATGTAATGAACTACATAAGAGCCAACACAAAATCAGGAAATGGGATGTATGATTTTTGTCAGCCACAATCAAACTGTATGTACCAATATAGTGTCAGCAAGTCATGTGACACATGTTAAGAGCCATGTGATCAACTAATTTACCTTGTATTATTTACCAAATTTACCTTACAGTCACATGAGCAGACCTCAACTGGGGCAATTACAGTTTTTTTTCCTAACAAGTGTTCAATAGTTCTAGTTGTCTAATAACTTCATGGTTATTTTTTCACCTCAACATCACCAACTGGGGACAACTTAAAAATGTTAAATAGTATCATAATAATAAATGAATGTATATAAGGCAGCTTTCAAAATAATTCTTTAATATAAATTAACAACTTAAACTTTAGAAGTTATTTTCCAAAAGCTCATCTTTCACCATAACATAAAAAGCTTTCTAAAATAATATGTTTATAAAAAAAAAAAATTCACATTTTAACTTTACAAAAATATACACAGAAATGTTCCTGCTAGAATTATACTTCATTTATACAACATTAAATGTGTGTTCTGTCCACAAAGTCATGACACTTGTAAGGAAGTCTCCCTTCAAATGTGATCCCTTGCTCATGTGTAGTGTTGTAGCAAATTGTTACTCATTTTGTAACACATAGCTATATTACACACTTCAAAACAAAAGTTTCTTGATCGTCTACTGGCTTATTTGACCCACTGTCTTGCCTTCATGAAGACCTAGTGCTTAATGCTTTGGTATACAGGGAACGTTCTTGCAGCAAAGTATCTGCAAGATTACAACACAGGACAATTTCTGAACCCCAGGAACGTCCAAGGTACTTCATAACACTGAACAACAAAGGACTCAAGTCTCCCCTCCACCCCCAACCTCGATCTTAAATTCTCAAGGCAAGAAAAAAAGAGAAGACAACTCCTGCAAAGTGAACACAAGAAGGAAAAATGAGGAAGACAAGAGGATTCTGAGTTCCTGAGAGGCTAATACACACACATAAAGTCCTTTAAAAAAATAAAATAATAATTTAATCTACTTTTTCTAAACTTGCCAGAAATGGGTTTTGAGATCTATTTCAGAGTTACGGGTAAAATACAGGGGGGGGAAACAGGGGGGAGAAAGGGGGTGATAGTCAACAAGAGAGAAGAGATGGAGGTGAGGTTGGGAATTAGACACAATGGGAAAAGCTTCATAGAAAGCAATCTTCTGGGATGAGCCCAGAAGATAATGTGACTATCAACAAAATCAGTTAAGGTCTGAGCTTTAGAAAGCAGTGAGATTATGAAGGCAAGAACAAGGAATTGGGACCAGCAAAGGGACTTCTAAAGTGGATAAATGTGGTCAGGTGTCAGGCACAGTGCAAGATTTATTGCAACGAGCTTCAAATGGATTGAGAGGTGTGTGAAGTGAACATCAGGACAGTAATAAAAAAAGGAAACTGCCATACCCCAGGAGTAAGAAATTGCCGTAAATATGCTACATTTCCTACACACAGTCCGACATCATGTATAGTATTTCACATCACAACTTTTTCAGCAATGTGTCAGCACAACAAAATATCCATCAGGACATTAATAGATATGGCAAGCTCATCCCTCAAACAGCTGCAGGAGGCTAGGGGCTGCTCCATGGATTCTCTAAAACAAAAAACAATGTTATTTAGAATTCATTTTAAATAACCACCTCAATTCCTCTTAAATACTTTGCATTATTTTTTTCTCACTACCACCATCTGACAAAGTGGACTCCAAGATTAGAATTCAAGAGTGCCTTGTCTCCAGTACCGCAGCAATACCCTTCTCCCTAGTGACATTACACACAGGGTAATGTCACCACCTGAACTTCTTTTGAAAGCAGTTAAAGGGAGGTAGATGCAGTTAACTACTTTTGTTTTGTTTGAAAATCCCATTCCATAGATAGGCACCAAGAAGAATGGAAAGCCCTGAAAGTGAGTCACTAGAAACTAGCTAGGAAAGCAGAAGAGTCTATAATTTGAACTAGACCACAGCTCGAGTGAGACATTTTTAGAGTCTGGTCTGGGATTTTCCTCACTAAAAGAAACCTTTTTTACACCTCTGGACTTTTTAACAGTGCTTATACTCTGCTATAAAGGTCTTGTTACACCTTTGGATCAGTCACATGTGCAAGCCTGCAGGGGCCTGGAGGACTGAAAGGTAATCCCCCTCTCCCTCGCTCTGGGTCCCTGAGGTTCCCTCTGCTCCCCACCGCTTCTCCCCCAGGTTTCCTCCATTTCCACCATCCAGTGGTTACTTGTGGCCATGTGCAGTCTGTCCCAAGGGAGCTGGCAGGAAAGGCTTAACTTGTCTGTCCCACCGAAGCCATCAGGCTGCTGCTCTTGTCTGAGCTGGGCCCAGCCAGAGAGCAGCCACAGAGGCAGGGCAGGAAGGTTAACCCTTCCCTGCCTGCTCCCCCAGAGCAGACTGCACAGGCAGCCTCAAGGAAGTGGGGGGCAGAAGGCCAGTATGCAGGGAACTGGGGTGCTGGGGAGGGTGAGGGGCAGTGACCCCAATCCAGGCCAGCAGGGGAAGGGGGGCAGGTGGGGTGTTTACACCAAGGTGTAGCCTAGAGTGACCACACCTTAGTGTGACCTGAGCTGCGTAGCATGGATCAGAGATCATCCTGCCCTGGAGTGTCAACATTTTGAGGTGCATAACTGGTGCTTAAAATTAGTTTCAGTTTGTAATGTATGGACAATCCTGGTGTTCAGAGCTCCAAGACCCAAAACTGCCAAATAGCAAAGCTGTTCTTAGACAGGGCAAGATGCTTCATTCAGGGTCTACAGCAAAACTTGAAGCTCACTGGATTTTTAGTTAATGCACGTACTCTTAACAGAGGGGAAGCATGCTGCAATATAGCAAGAGGAGAAACAGGACGGAAATCCAGCACTTGACTTCTGACAATGTACACAAAACTCCTGTTTATAATACATTTTCCCTAACTATATCCGGCACTTCCAAACAAATGAAATATAATTAATGAACATGATTTGTCTTGCTTATTTCTTTGTAATGAGCTTTTTCTGCCCTCACGCTCCATCATGGAAAAAAAACAATCATCATCATCTACTTGCTACTCCTCTCTTGTTCACTAGCATTTAAGCATTCAAAAAATCTTTTTTAATAAAAGCTTTTCTAACTAGTTTCTAAACCCTAAAATTATCTGCCTGATATTATAGCTGCGACCAAAGTAGCATAGAAATTTAGCTGAGTATTGGCTGGCAACAATAATTTCAGAACTCATTTGAAGACATCAGATCCATTTAGTACTATGACACTGAAAATTTTAGAATAGTCTCAGTGGTTTGATGTGTGGAAATGTCTTAACTGACAAATCTCACCTTCTTTCCATAACTAATATTTCAAATTTAAGAGAGAAGAGGATGTACACATGCTATTTCTGAAAATATGTTCTTTGTAACATATGACACTTACAAGTTAGCGTGAGAGAATCTGGATCAAGCCTTATCTTTGTACAGTCAAATGCTCCCTTATCATAACTATCTTCCTCGTCAAGAATATTTTGACGCAAGACATTCATCACAAAATCTTTACTCATTGTGTACTTCATGAACTCCTCAGTCACTGGCGGTAAGGAGAATAGCAACTGATAGGATGCAGTGGCGTTTTCATCACTGAAAAACAAACAGAGCTCCATTGACATATACACAAAATAGTCTAAGGGCTCATGTCTCCTGTCAGTCCTCAAGTGCAACTATTGTTGAGGCTAATAAGTTGTGCATGCAGTGTGGAGATAATGAGAGAGATGCTCTCAAAGGTACAAAGGGTAACTGGGCATGTAGTGATACAGTCAGATGTTTGTAACATACTTGTGTTATAAATTGAAAACAGCAATAAAAGGAGAGGTGTTAGCAACACAAAGCTTATTTTCATTAAGATCCCACAAGCAGCTTTCCTGATAATGATATCTGACACAACCCAACAACGCATCTAATGCAAAATCTGGAGTGGATTGTTCAAACCACTGAACTAGAGTCAAACTCTGGAGCAGACCTGTTAGTTCACTGAGCTGGAATCACTGCCTTATATTCTGCATATACAGTTTCTATGAAAGTGAACTTAGTATGCAGAAAGAGGAAGACTGACACTAGCTCGTATGCAATGAACCACTTTGCATTTGCTGATCTTCTTTTAACTGAAAGGATCACACACCACATGACACCGACCAAACTGACCTGTTCCATGCCTATCTCTAGAGTACTCCTCTACAGCCATCTTCTCGTAAGACACAAACAAACACTCGCTAACATACTCAAGGGAGGTTTTTTCTTGGTCTGTACACTGCAATGCATGCTGACTTGCATAGTTTAAACTACTTTCCTCAGTTTTTCCGCATCTTTCCAATCCATTTATTATGTCTTATGTCCTCCACGCCCTCCCTCAGTTTCCTTGTTTGGCATCACTTGGAAGGATTCTCCTTGGCTTCTCTCTTGCTGCCTCTTCTCTGTTCCTGCAGTTTCAACTACCCACCCTTTGGCAAGCTCAGAATCTCTTCCCCAACCCCCAGTTTCTTCCTTTTATTCCTTTCACTGCAAATCACAGACAGGCATCTTCCTTAACCTCCCACCAGTACTAATCCTGTTAGCAGCAGCAGCAGCAGCAGCTCTACTACCTTCCCTTATCCTGCAAGTTCGTTGGATAGCCGGTTGCTGCCTAAGACAAAATTTCCAGGATATTCTGATCCTGCTTTTGTCCTCTCACCACCACTTACTCTCCATCTTATGCAGCCATAACTCTCTCCAGAATGAAACCATCTGCCACCTTGATTACTGCCAATTCTCCTCGGCCCCAGCTTCTACCTTGCCTGTCAACTTCCCCAGTCTATCCAAAGGCTTCTGCATTTCCCATCTCTCCCTGCTACCCTGAAAAAGCCACAGAAAATATGGCAAAATAATGATTCTCTCACTACTTACATTGGCCTATTACAGGGGTGATCAGCCCCCAACCTGCAGGCCAAATCCAGTTCATGGGGCTCCCTATGGGCCAGGAAATTGGGCCGCAGGGGAACAGTAGCAATTAATGCTGACACCCTTCCCCTACTGACAAATTCCCAAGCCCCAGGCCGCTGGATCTGAGCTGGGCCACATCTCCTTCTCCCCCTGTGGCCAGGCCACATCCTCCTTCCCCCTCTACGTGGCCAGGTTGGGGCCCAGCATGCCTGCAGGATCAGGCCACTGACTGGATCAGCATGCCTGCAGACACATCAGGCCCTGCCCATCTGGCCTGCCAAGTGAAAAGGTGGAATACCACTGGCCTGTCATATCTTTATGCTCTTCTTGCCCCTCTCATGTAGAGAACACTTCATAAAACATACTTGCACACTTTGAGGCACCATATAAATAATGGATATTTAAAATCAAGCTCTTCTGACTTTTAAGCCTCTTTCTTAATTCTGCAAGTTTGATTAAACTAGCAGTCAAAATCCAAAGCAATATGGATAATATTTAGGAGGTATCAAAATATTTTAAAATTATTTTCTATCTACACGTACCTTATCCCTTACAATATATTAGGCAAAATGTGATTAAGGTGCAATTTCACTGATTGGGGTGGTATTTCTTCTAGCAATAGTTATTTCACAGGTTTACACTGTTTTGTATGTCTGTGTCAGCGTCAATCCTCCTAATTCCTCCTCTCCACCCTCTCCCCCATCCCCTTGGCTGCTACATGTCTCAGGGGGTTTTTTAAGCCTCCCTCAGAGGCATTGGATGTTGCCTGCAGTCGAGGCTAGGGATCTTGCCTGGGGTGTGCCAAACATCCTGCTGGGACTTAAGCCCAGAGGTTCCTGGTTAGAGGGTCTTGCCTCTCTGCTCAGGGCCAGACTGATCACCATAACTGTAGTCAGGAAGGAAATTTACCCCATGGTCAGATTGTTAAGGACTATGGTGGGTTTTGCCTTCCTCGGTAGTGGGGGGGCATGGCCCTTTTCCTAGGATCTCTTGAGAGTATATCAACAAACTGTACCGCAGTGCAGCATTGGCCACCATGTTCCCCCTGCTTTACCTGAGGCAAGTTAGGTGTTGTGTCAGTGTTGACTGTGTAGTATTGCTAAGAGATTAGACAGTGAGTTTGTAAAGGATGGTTTGGATGGAAATAATCCCGTCTCAGGCAGGGGGTTGTACTAAATGACCTCTGCAGGTTCCTTTCAGTCATGCTTCTCTACGGTTCTAAACAAAAATAAAAGTTTAAAGAAAATTCTGATGATGGGAATTCCCTACCTGAAGGAAACTACATGAGCAGAGACAAAATAGCGCCCCAGGGCTGGAGAGGACTTGTAGATATCTGTTAACTTGAAAAGAGAAAAAGGTTAGCTATTTTCCCTATTGAATATCTTTCAATCCCCATGAAATAAAAGAGGACACATCCAGTTTTCAAAGTACTTTAAGAGAAAACATTGTAAGTACCAAAGTTTGACCCAAATCTCATTACAGTCTAATTACAAAATCCATTTAGCTGCTCCTAGTTGGTTTTCAATTTCACTTCCAATGTGTCAACTTAAATTGTTGGATTTATAAAATGATGTTCAACTATTCTAGAAAAGAAAATCACTAGAACTTGGTCCAAGAACGAGAGTCTCAAGAGCCTCCATAGAGTCTTCGCAGAATCTGTACAAGAAAGTAGGTAAAATACTTCCTTGGAAATAAAAGTAATGTCAGAACATCCTAGTTTCTGAAGCCCCCTGGAACTATGATATCTAAACAAGCAAGTTAAACGGTGATGTATAGCTTCACTGAATAAAATTCTGTAGTAAATGCAGAGCCTGTGCAAGTCCTAGGGAGACCAATGTTTGCTGCCTACAAGGTTCTTAGGACAAGAAATTTAGGGTTATACATATCCTAAGAGATCACTGAAATGGAACTTATCCCCACTAACATCCAAGTTAAATTGTGTGTAGGGTGATTGTTGGGTAGCCCAGACAGAGGAAGAATTCAGGGTGCATAAAAAGGCTATGAGCTTCCGGCCACCACCCACTGATAAAAGCAATCAGCAGTTAGATCAGGGATGGGCAATTATTTTGGGCAGAGAGCCTCTTACTGAGTTTTGACAAGGCATCGAGGGCCGTATGACAGGCAGCACAGGGCATATAAATATTAATTTTCTAAATTTTTTAGAGGCCCCGCAGGCTGGATAGAATGGTCTGGCAGGCCACATTTGGCCCCAGGGCCACATTTTGTCCACCCTAGTTAGATAAGTTTTCCAAAAATTCATATGAATAGTGAAATAATTCCCTTCCACAGTACTTGAACAGATCTGTTGCATTTACTCAGCATAATTTTTGAGCAGCAACAGGCAAGGAGGAATTCTAACAGTAAATTCAACATGTCAGTCGTTAGGCTCTTACAAGAATTTTTAACCAGAAGGCTCTTATTATTCTAATATAGGTAACCACTAGGGCTGTGCGAAATTTCACTGGGTGTTTCATTTCGAAGCTGTTCCGATGTGTTTCGAGCTCAAAACAGTGCAATCAAAATGAAACAAAAGCCTTCCAAACAACTTTGAAATGAAACAAGGGCACTCAATACATTTTAAAAGTTTTGAAACGTTTTGAGTTCCCAAATCGGGCTTACTTGGCTTCAGTGCCAGTCCCAGTCAGCAGCAGCAGTCTCCTGTCATCTGGTGCAGATCCGGGGGCCGCGCCTCAGGAGGATTCTGGCACAGCCCACAGCCCTCCCGGGGGTATGGGCCCTCGGATCTGCACACCAGCGGCAGCACCAATCTTCCCAGCACTTGGCACAGGCTGCACCCAGCGTCGGTCTCAGCTGGCAGCAACAGCCTCCTGTCATCTGACAGGTAGATTGGGGGCCTGCCCGCATCCCTGGGAGGGCTGTGGGGCTGTGCTGGACTCCCCCTGGGGTGCAGGCCCCCAGTCTGCCTGCTGGATGACAGGAAGCTGCTGCTGGGCACCAGTGCTGGGCGCAGCCCGCACGCCGTGCCAGGAAGATTGGTGCTGCCACTGGCCCCAGGTAGCAGAACCAGCCTCCGCGTCACGCGGCGCGCGGAGCACGGCGCCCCCAGGAAGAGTCTGGCACAGACACCAGAGCCCACCCAGGGGTGTGGGCAGGCCCCCGATCTGCCTGCCAGATGACAGGAGGCTGCTGCTGCTGCTGCTTGGGACCAGCGCTGGGCACAGCCCATACCCAGCACCAAGAAGATTGGTGCTACTGCTGGCCCCAGGTAGCAGAGCCAGGCTCCTGTCATCCAGCAGGCAGATTGGGGGGCCCACAGCCCTGGAAGGAGTCTGGCACAGCCCATGTAGCCCTCCCAGGGGTACAGGCCCCCAGATCTGCGAGCAGGATGACAGGACGCTGCTGCTGCTGCTGGCAAGTGACAGGACTTTTGCTTTTCAAAGCCTTGAGGTGCAGTTTCCCAGAAACCTCTGCACCTATCTCCTTGAAACTTGGCAGGCTTCATGCCCTCAGAAGGGACTGCCATCCCTGCAAGCTTCATCCAAATCAGGGATGAAATGACAAAGTTTTGTGCATTTTCATGATTCCCCATTATAGCCTATGGGTGAAATGTCGAAACAGCAAAATATTTTCAATAAAATGAAACTGAACAGTGCTTCCGAAACTAAACGAAACTTGAAACGAAACACTCTTCCCTTGAAATGAAGCGGAATGGTGGTGTTTTGCACAGCCCTAGTAACCACACAGCCTAGTTCAAAACCACCTGCATTACTTTTACTCAGATGCTTAGAGATATGCAAATTGTTCGCTGGATTGAGACCTTGCATCACATGAGAAAGAGAAAAGAACCTCAAGAACGCTTTGCTTTAGTAAACTGCTTGGATAGAGGAGGGATCTAGAGGCAGTGTACAGGCACAAGAATTACTCAGAGGGACCCATATTCCTGCGTTATGGTCAGAATTATACCTGATAGGAAGATGGTCAACACTTACCTTCTTTGTAAGATCTTCTGAGTAAGCAGTCCCAGCAGAACACTGTACTTTTAATGTTCCTGAAAAATTATGGTGATTTCCACTAGACACCAAGTCAGGGTCCCAATATTCATCTTCATCTATGTAAACCTCTATGTTTTAAAATGAGACAGAAGAGGAGCAAGATAAAAGTTCCTGTTGTCACAGATGGGTTGCAGACAAGCAACTTGATCCTATGCAGATCGTGAACTAACACAACACAGGCAGGCTTATTTTGTAGAAAACACTCACATCCAGGATAAAGTTAGCCCTTGAAAAAGGTGTAGTAACTTGACCATGTCTCCCGGAATGTCTCTTCAATGCAAAAGAGCTTCCCTGCCACCTAGTGGCCAGGCCCTTGTAACTGCTACTACTGCAGGCAACTAACTTGGAGGGCTGGTCAAGTATCTTCTTTCTACAGAGTACACGGAGATAAATTACAGGGTAATAACTATGTTGTGTACCTGCCCTCATAGAAAAATGATGCTGTTTCACTCAACATCTAGCAACTGTTAAGCATGTTCACTGGATGGAACACTGCCAAGTGGATCATTGGCTGTTATAGCCAGATTGCCAATGTATTTTTTCATGCTCAGAAAAAAATATTTTCCACCACTTGTAATCTAGGCCTGGCTCAAGGTTTACAGACTTTATCTAGATGTAATCAAAAGTGCTATTCCTTCTATACATTTTCCAAGGCTGCTTTTCCCTGTTATTTTTCTGTATGTATATTTAAACTAGATTTAAAGAGAAGAAAACAACCAGAGTATGATTGAGTGAGGTGCATGTTGCCACTGACTTCAAGCCTTGTTTAGTGCCCATCCTGATGGTAAAGCACTAAAACAAACACAACTTCAATGGAAGGATCCCAGTAGGATTTAAATGCACAGCTGCCCAAGGCCAGAGGTCTCTGTGCATCTTACCCAAGGGCCTTTTTACATGTACTCCAGGAGTTGGGGTGGGGGGGAAGGGGGATTTTAATTAGAGAAGCTCTAATTAAAGTGCCTGGACTGCCTCATGTATCAGTGTCCCCGGATTTCAAAATGGCAGTGGGGATGCTTTAAATCTATTTGAACGAGCTTTAGTTAAAGCACCCCCACCGCCACTTTGAAGCACAGGGATGCCGATACACAAGACACAGAGGCTGGCTGGAGTGTACTAATTAGCATGCTCCAGCTGACTTGATTAATCGAGTCTGCTCCGGCGTGCTGTAATTACAGAACATTGGAGCAGCCTCCCAGCACATGTACAGGCATCCCAAGAGTCTGTACAAATTCAAGATAGTAAAGTCCTTATTTACAACTAACAATAACCCACAGTTCAGCCTAGCACCTTTGATAAATCAACACCCAAAACTGCAGTCTTTCCATCACAAAACTAAAGCCAGGTCAAAGCATGATGTCATAGATCTCACCTGATTTGAGAGACATATACTATTAGGCTAAGGACAGAAGTTACACAAACTGGTTTAAGTGATTGGAAACTGATTTAAACCTGTAACAGAACAGAAGTTCAGTGCACATAAACTGCTTTCAAAATGGCCCAAACTGGTTGAAGATAAACCTGGCTGGATGCAGTATCAGACTTAACTGATTTAGGTTAAACCAGTTTAAGGAACTTCTATCCCAGAACCCCTCCTAACTCAAGTTAACTCATGGTCTCCTAGTATGTCAGAATGCTTTGCAGCTGTGGGCTGTGCTGCCTGCTCCATGGCTGGCTCTGCTCCCAGCTGTCACAGAGATGAGGCATTAAAGCCTCTGCTCCCCGGCCTGCTTCCTGCTTGTGTCTGCTAGCTTGTCAGGTTGGGAGTTAGAGAAAGACTCCCAGGACCTTCTAGCCCCAGGCCGTACAGCAACGGGAGGAAAAGCCCCTGTGGTGGGGACTTTTTGCTCCTTCAGTCCAGCCACCTGGGCTGGGATCAGCTTAGCCCTGCCCTCTCCCCAGCCTCTACCTCCTAGAGGTAGGGAACACCCCCCACCCCGCTCCCACCTGGCATTCTCCCCACCAGGTTG